AAAAGATGATTCCACAGGCCTCAATGTACCTCATCAGTAAATCCCGAAAACTCAAGGAAAAGCATGGCGTGTGGTATGAACCGGATCCTTACACGAGGTGCAAGGTGAGCCCTGAGAACCTGTCTGCTGCCCTAGAGTACTTCACGAAAGACGAGCTGCAATGTTCGCGCCAAAGTCCCAACCAGAAGGACGTCATCTCTGTCATGCTCAACGGAGAGAAAACGTTCGTGCCAAAGCGCTTCATGACACGCTCAATACGAGAGGCCTTCCGTATATACAAAGACAAGCATCCCGATTCCGGCGTTGGGCTAGCGAAATTTTATTCGTTGCGCCCTAGATGGGTCCAATGTATTCCACACCAGGAAGTGTGCGTTTGTGTGCGCTGCGCCAATTATTATCTTTGTATTGCCGCTCTAGAGAACGTTACAGGCTCAACATTCAACACTGGTGAAATGAACTCGGCATTTCTGTGCGACCCAGCAACAGAACTGTGCCTTCAAGGAGACTGTGATCACTGCCCAAAAGGCCAGTTTCTTACACTCCAGGAACTTGATATCCCGGAGGATGAAGAGATTGTGCTTGCAACATGGGAGTCCGGCGACCTTGTGAAAAAACTTTGGAACCTGACACTTTCCTAAAAGTCATCCAAGTGACGGTTGGAAGTTGGGTACTTCACAACCATATCCGGCAAACGCAAGGTAAAGCGATCTACGATGAAAAACAGTGCATGCAACGCGGGAGCATTGTCTTTCATTTTGACTTTGCTGAAAACTGGACCATCGTGCTTCCTGACGAAGTGCAAGCATATCACTGGAAAAAAAAAAACAAGTTTCGATATTTACATGTGTAGTGACGACAAGAAAATCTACAAACAGCTTTGCCATCATCAGTGAGGACCTGTGTCACGACGCCGCTCACGCTTGCTTGGCTCTAGAAAAAGTGAAGGAGTGGGTTGAAGACAACGTTGCGGTATACTCGTACGTGACGTACGTAAGTGACGGCGCCGCCAGTCATTCCAAGAATCGCTACCAGCTTCACCAATTTGCAAAGGACGATTGCCCACAAGCCCAGTGGTTATTTTCTGCATTGTTCAGCGTGGCACCAGGCCACGCTGAACAACCTGAGAGAACGTTCAGTAAGCGCAATTCAGACGGCCAGGACAATGGTGAGCGTTCTATCAGAGAAACTGAAAGGCGTGCATCTTGTATATCTGGACGAAAATGACTTTGTTCGGTATCGTGAACAAAAAAAAGAAGAGTGGCTGACGGTGCGCGCCTTCCCTGGCATTCAGTCTTGGCACGCGTGGCGGCTCAGCAAGTCATCAACAGAAGGGACCTGTGACGTATATGTAGCACGGACAGTCGGATCTGCTTGGAAGCAACTTTATTAAATGGGTACAGCGAGGAAAACCTTAGCGTAAAGTGCCGAATTTGATTTCCCAAGGACTGCTCATTTTGAATGCAGGGACATCTTATTTATCACATTTTTCTTCACGGGGTATTTAACCTACTGTTTTTGTTGGTGGTTACTAATAATTTTTATCTGATCACTATAAAAAAAAATCCCAAAATGTTATCCTCGAACAGGATAAAATATATCGGCTTGCCACGATTCATTCATACACCGAGAGCATCGAAGCTGCTCCAGTTAGGCACTATGGCATCCGTCACCTGAAATTGTTTGTAATCGTAAATACACAGCCAACCTAAATATCTTACTATTATATCTTTGTTTTTGTGTGTGGAAGTAAAGTTATTTATTTTACTCTAGATGTAAAATATACCGGAAGGTACAACTTCACACTGCATCATCTTTTCTCAAATCATTAGTCTCTAATATGATACCACTTTGTAGGCTTATGTAAAATGCTGTATATAGTTTCTCCTCCCTTTTACTGTGTGACCGATCGCTCTTTTTATGAATGACCTCGTCTGAATAAATGTATATAAAAGATTTGTGCAAGTTTCATGAAACTGGAACTCAGAGTCACTTCTTGTATAGGACACTGCTAAGTGTAGGCTTTGAAAAAGGACCCTACTTTGGGGAGTTGTTTCTTCTTTCACAGTGCAATGATGCAACATGTTTTTAATAGAAATGAATGCCGAAATAGAGTATAACAGGGTACCCAAATTTAAAAAAAATCGAAGGTGGTGTTTTTTTTTTTATTCGCATTGGAATTTTTCTTTGTTTGATTTTTTTCCCATGTTTGCCTAAATGTATTGTAACTATTGTGTCACTCAGATACCTTATTTATTTTTTCAATAATAGCCATATATTAGTAAAATAATGTCTGCAAGTTATGTAATAATGATTAAGTTATTTCATGAGATACAGATTTCCAAAGTTTGCCATTTGTCGTTCGAGCAGGCATGTTTGGCAATTTTTAGAAAACAAAATAAATTTTTAATAAATAATATTACTTTATATTACAAGCAAGTTGTACCCATAGTTTGTTTGTAAAAAGGTTTAAAATTCGCCTAATTTTATTGTTTTAATTATTCACTTTCAAACTTGCCCCCTCCATCAGTGCGCGTTATTGCAACTGTCCACCTCTCCCTGCCTTACGATTTTTGTTGTCTCCAAATATTTTCCTAGTCAAAACTAAGTGTGGATTCGTTTATACCAGACACTAGACAATGTCATATAAAAACATCAGTTGATTTAAAAATGTCTACCTGCCACCCTTTGGTCGATCTTATCTGAAATCACTCCATAGCGAAATTATATAGAATCACCAGTATTTTATATATTCATAAACACATTTTACCACTTAGAACAAAGTTAATATTTTATAATTCATTATTTTTTACATTGAAATTATGGTCCGCCTAAATGGAGCACTACAACCTATACGAACCTCAAAAAATCTTTGTTACAAAAATATAGCATCTCTAATGTGTCACTAGAACATGTAATTGATGATCTTTGTAGTCAAATTGTTGTGATTGAATTTTTTTTGTTTATATAAATATTCCTTATATGCAAGGAAGAAAATAGAAACAAATTTATCCCAATATCGCCATAAAAAGTTAGCGCAGTTAACTGATATCACTTATAAATACCCAACACGAAATAAAGAACCTTGGGAAGTGCCCTTTTTTGGAACAAACTACGGCCACGAAAGTTTACAATATACTTTGCCGACCACCCTTAACCATGGATGCAAATAATCCCTGGAGAAGGGGAACAAGAGGGACAAGGGACAAACACAAAACTTGTTTGTCCCTTGTCCCTCTTGTTCCCCTTCTCCAGGGATTATTTGCATCCTTCATGTCCAGCTCGCTTGCACCTTTGCATTTAATTGCATTCTAATTATACCCATTACCAGCTTACTAGGCAGGGAACTGAACTTAGCAATAAATCGGTGAGCATCTTACGGGAAATGTTTATTTCAAATGTTTATTTGGAAGCAAATTTTCTACGATAAGCGGTAAAATCTGTTTAGTTGTTTTCGTTCGTGTTTATTTCATTGAGGCTCTAACTTTCTGTATATGTTTTCACTATTGTGCAAATTGAAGGAATAGGCTACTTATCTTGTATAGCGTTAGTTCCCGTTTGTAATTTGTTTTTCATATATGTACTGAACATGCCGTGTTTCATTTTTCAACAATTTCTTTGGTGCCTGCATCGCCACTGCGATGCTGGCTCGGGGATCACCAAACTGTTTCTACAGCCCCTTCCCTTGTCACCATTTGAACATTGCTTTTGTTTGAAAAAATAAAGGTACTAATATCACATACGTAGCAGTAAGCAATAATACCGTGAGTAGTTAATTTTTAAAATATATAATCGTCAATGAAAGGAGAAATAAAACCGCGTCCTATTTTTGCGCGTTCATGTAAGCTACCGGTGCAAAACTCTTTGTTCTATGAACTAGCCTACGCACGGCGAATGTTGGACAAACACTGCTCGCCGACATAAGACATCGGGGACTCTAAGTTGTACACAGCAAGAGAGTGATGGAGATCTCCAAGGCGCTGAGATTGGTCAGAGTCGTGTTGTGGTTGGCCAGCACCGAGGTCAAGCGCTGCGCTGACCAATCGCGACGGTTGGTCGGCGGTGACGCCGACTTTTTCACCGAGTGTCAAACATAAAGCCTCAGCTTGCTCTTATTATCCGAATAGTCTTCAGCGTTTTCCCTTGTACAGAAGCACGTTCTTTCTGGTGATTGTTTGGGGCGCTCTATCTCCCAGAAGAAAGCCATCTGCGGTGCGCATCGTTAGTTTAAGTTCCACTTTCATTGTTTGCTCGCAAAGGAGAACCAAAGGAACGGCAAAAGAACCACGCAGTACATACTTCTGTCACATTCCATTGAGAAAACAAGCATCTACAGAATAAAATGTTTGACCCCCTCAATGGTGTAAATTAGCATGTGCCATGGCTAACACACTAGTGGTGTTACACCAAAAACCGTTAGGTTGCTGGCTAAACCTCGAAAAATAGAGCTGGCGATCTCGTCAGTATCCTAGGTATATTGTTTTAGAAGCAACAAAGTTACAAGCAACACGCATAACTTACAGCTGTCCCGTGTACAGAAACCACCAATGCCGATGCAATGAAGCACTCGCAGGACCGGAATCAAGACCCTCTTGGGTGCTTCTGCACCTTATATACTCACCTATTTAAGGATACTCCTTATTTTCTAAGAGCCTCTTCAATTAGAAAAGCTGCAAGTACGTTGATGGCATCTCGTATTTTACATAACGCATAATATACCGCAGTTCAAGCAATGTATGACCGAACAAAAATGATTCGTGATGAAATAAATATTTCATGTCCATAGTGGCCCGACCAACTTCCGCTAAATCTGTCTAGGTACAAGACACGGAACATTATTTTCCACATTTTTCAAAATCAAGTGTGTTCTATGGAAAAACATCCTATTTTATTAAAAAAAGGGTATTATTAAAAATAAGGACGCTGAAGGGGTGTGCCCATAACTCTATGCCCTTGAAACACCCTTTCTTACCCTTAAAGGTATAAAATGTTCCTGTGCGTACCTAGTGCGTTCAAGATGGCGCCGCACCAGAAGACCTCTCCCAGTAGAGCCGGCAGGAAAAGCAGCGCCGTCACCCGGCTCCCGAACGCCTGCTCCAAGGGGTCCAGCATGGTCACGTGACGGGCGCGCCACATCGGGCCCGAGAACAAGGCCCCGACTGCACGCGCACGCGGTGAATGGCTCGCATCAAATAAAGCGGCAGTTGAGCAGAAACGGACAAAGTTGTCTGTCCCTGTCCATTTTCGTGACCTTAGTTTGACAAAATACTCGCCCTGCAGAAAGTTGATGACGAATTGTGTTGAATGATTTGCCTCGAAATTAGTTCAACAGATTAATAGACACATCGGAAGTAGTACCCCAAATCACAAGTCCCAATAATGTTTCTTTTGCGAAGTTATTGAGATTTCCAGCTTGGCAGTGAGTGGCTCTACTGGCAATACTTAAAACGTGTCAACGAATGTTCTAATATAGGGGTAGTACTGTTTTCTTCTCCGACTGGTTTTAAGAAGCCTGCCCGACTTGCACTTTTACAGCATGTGACGTCACCACCATAAAGAGCGCGAGAAAATGTCAATGTTAGTTGTTTTTTTCGCTTAACCTCCATTGGGCCGTTTTCGCAACAACTATTTTGAAGTTAAAATAATAAATAGAATGAACAGAACAGTAAATCCTAATCACTACGACAATGTGTGCCCTATTTCTATGTCAAACAACCGCCGGAGCTCCCCTTAAAGCACGACAGGCGTTTTACTGTAATTGCCTGAGCATTCGGCGGGGGAAAAAAGCGTCCGGAGAAAGCGTTTCGAAAACGACAGATGCCGGAGAGTTAACCAGCTGCCAACTTCATTTTGCCTCTCAGTCCAATTGCTCCATTTCGAATTGGTATGATGTTAGAAACAATTATTTTGAAAAGAGAGGAGAGTAAGAGAGGCTGACGAGTGTACTTTACCGCGTCGCGTGTCAACGCGCTTCTCGTTCCTGGGGTCCAATTTTGGTCAAGGCGAGAACGACAGCGCTTTTGGCCTTTGATTGGGCGTGGAGCCATAGCTTGAGCGTAATGAACCAATGAGTCATTTTTGGACCAATTCGGTAGTTAAAAAAATGATAAAACGTTTTGCGAGACCTTCTCACCAACTCCCGAATAGCGAGATAAGTCTCGCGGCCTCTGATGTGGTGGTCCTTAGTACTCCTTAATCTACCGGTCGATGTCAGATTCTGAACGACAGCAGGACAACTTGAGGTTCGCAAAATGAAGCGCGGGTTGTAAATGGCTTCCGACGTGAGATATCAAACAATAATAATTTCCGCCCGCGTCCGATCTGACTCCTCCACGGCGCTCAATGGTAGCAGACAATTAACTTTTTTTTCCTGGCTTGTTAGCAGATGACGTACGGTGTTTCCCATCCTTATTTCCATCTGCCAGTGACGCCTCGAAGCAGATGAACCGCGTTAGTCGCTTGCGTTAGCAGACGAGCCGTCCAGAAACGCTATCATCGCAAGTTCCTTTAATGGCAAATCAGACCCCACTCTAGCTCTCGCGGTGACCAAGATCGGACCCCATGCTACGTGACCGGTCACGCAATTAATAATTGCGTTCCAGCTCGGCATAACTGAGACGTCTTTAATGACTGCGACGTCTCTTAATAAAATCATTGCATGCCCTCGGCCTAACTAGGTGCGCGAGTTTTCTAAACAAATGTCCCAGTGGAACGAATTCTGTAAATAGTGAGAGAACTTATAATGTGACATCTTGATCATAAATTTTAGTAAGGATAATGCAGATAAAATAATGTTTTTGTTTTATTTATTCCATAATCAAACACATGAATGACACGCCAATCACGTTCCAATTACTACTTTTATCAAAACACTCCACTTATACTTATTAACCGTACTAAATATAATGTTTAATGACACATAACATTATAAATATTATGACCTAAAGGAATAACGCACGAGGGGTGTTTGCCTCCCAGGTTGTGACTTTTTTCATTCATTGATGTAACTGAGACATTTTACATTCGAATGAAAGTTTGGAATCTCATCTTTCCCATGAGCGCATAACGTTTTAATATAGTCGCCACCGGCGGCGATGCATTTCCGCCACCGGTGCACCACCTCTTCAGCTGTGGAGGAAAAACCTTTTGAACACCCCTCGTATTTTAGTTTCTTTTTTGCGATTTTCGAAAACTGCTGTTGTTTTCTTATAGGGTTAAATCTGCCATTTAATGATAAGAATACGTTCCGTTCTTTTATATTATGTCGTCATTATTTTCAGCGAGCGTAAAGTTGTGTCAAAAGCACATAAAGTTTATTGTTTAAATGTAATATATTCCTTTGTTCCTTTTTGTGGGTATTTTCGCTTTCATTCTCTATTATAGTCGTTGTGTGTCATGCATTTTGGAAACGTTGGTTTGATCTAATGCTAAAAGCTGACCTATGAAATGAAACCAACTTAGAGTGCGAAAGCAGACGATGCACGAAACAAGAACCGTCGTAGACGAAGGTACATCAGTTCGGGAGTAGCATTTGGCGGTTTTATTTATTCATATTAATGGCATGGCACTTTCCGCAGTGTGAGACTTATCTGAAAACCCAAACAACTTTATTTTAGCGAATATACCGCGGAACCAAACATTTCGATAAAAGCGCGCTGGCGCGTAGGGGCTTTACGTCCCGTAATATGCAGCGCCATCTCTGCATAAGGCGAAGGTGTTCGCTCGGTGTCTCCCCGACAGCTGCCACTCCGCCATTAAAGAAAAAGCACTTTTTCTAATATTTTCTTTTTTGTACTCGGATTTCCGACTTGAAATTTTAGCACAACAATGTGACCAATTAAAGACATTTTCGAGAAAAGTTGCTACAAGATGAGTCAAGATTTTTTTTTTTTTTCGAGTTATTTTAGCGTGCAAATGTTTTTGTTGTTGTGATACCTTGTATATGGGAAAGGGCACGCAGCACAACGAACGCTGCGGCGCGATCGACTAGATGAAGTCCTCTTTAACGCGCGCTTTAGTAGCCTGAACCAAAAAAATAGGGTAAAAGAAAAAAAAAATGAAAGCCGTTTACACTCCCTGTAACGCCGGGTTAGACGCAGCTCTTGAGGAGGAGGTTGGAAACGTACTTAAGGCCCTGTCACATTGAGGAAACATGGCGGAAACATCAACAAAACATGTTTCTCAACAGTCGGGAAACATGTCGGCTGTCGGCTCTGTTGCCCGACAACCCTGTCACGTTGAGGAAACAGCAACACAACATGGACGACAGCGACAGTGTTGTCTCGGTGTGACAGCTTTTGGGAACGGAAACCTCGGCAACTTGTGTCGGACGACACGTGTTGCCCATTTCGGTGGCTGAGCGAATTTTTTTCCAGCAACACGGCAACATCTATATTTTTCAGTACAGATAGTCGCACGAGAATACTTCAATAATTGACAACTCCCCATTTCTAAGCAGCCCCATAACTATTGCAATTAGCACATGCCTCCTTGCACTGTGTGGTTTGTCGGAGCGGTCAAGTTTATTCGATCAGTTCCGTGCTAGGAGATCCTCAAAGGAGCCGGTGTCCATCCGAATCCAACGCCGGTAGGCCTCGGAATCTTCCAGAGCCAGCTCCCGCATCAAATTCTCATAGGCACCTTGTTGATGCACTCTTGCGAGCCACTCGCTGGTCCATTTTGAACGCGGCTTCTTGCGCGGCGGCAGCTGATCGTCAGAATCATCTGAATCGATGGCACAAAGAAGCACCAAAGCAGGAGCTGCTGCTGTGGCCGGCGCGTATGCCATTCTGCAAGGGTCTAGCCCTGTAGCAGAACGCAACCGCCAAATCCAGAGAACACGAGATGGTTCGCGCGGCTGATGATTCGACTACGGTAGAGCGACAGCGATGAGACGGCGATCCAAAATGGCAACGATTCAAGGGGCGAGCGGAGCCAGCGGATCTTAGCCTAGCCGCCTATACTTCGTTTCAGCTTCGGTCCAGACGCAGCCGATGCTACAAGCGCGAGCATGTGGCCCAGAACAGTGCTTGCACTGCACGAGCGCGCGTGCTTGGCAGGGATGCTGAAAGCCCGGAGCTCGCGCTTGTAGCTTTGGCTGCGTCTGGACCGAAGCTGAAACGAAGTATAGCCGAGCCGAGCCGGCCGGGCAGACGAGGGCGAGAGAGAAAGAGAGGCAGCGCGCAGGAGAGGAGGCAATGTGTGTTCTTCCGACACGCTTTCCCGGTGTGACAGGATGTTCCCCGAGTGTCGGAGAACAAGTTGGGAAACATGGTTTTCGGACGACAGCAACATGTTTCCGGACTGTTGCTGTTTCCGCAATGTGACAGGGTCCCCGAAAACATGTTCTCCTCGTGTTGAAGGACAAAGTTCTCTGACTGTTTCCGCAGTGTGACAGGGCCATTAGGGATATTTGACTCCTTGAGGTCACGTGACCTGGGGGGGGGGTCGTGTGACGTCGGGGGTCACGTGACCTCGGGGGGAGGGGGATCACGGGACCTCGGGGGGTCGCGTGACCTCAGTTAGGGGTCAGGTGACCTCAGGGAGGTGACGTGACCTCGGGAGGGGGGGGGTCACGTGACCTCAAGGGGTCACATGACCTCGGGAGGCGGGTCACGTGACCTGGGGGGTCATGTGACCTCGCGGTTACGCTGACGGCGACGCCGACGCCGCTCAAGCCGGAAACCGGCCCCTAACAGCTGCGCTCTAAAAAGGAAAGCCGTTTACAATTCCCTATAACGGCGAATTAGAGCACAGCTCTTGAGGAGGAGTAGGGAAAACTACTGAGGGGGGGAGGTCATTTGACCTCGGGGGGGGGGGGGGGGGTCACGTGACCTCGGGGGAGGGGGGTCACGTGACTCCCCCTCCTCCCCGAGGTCACCGAAGGTACCCGAGGTCCTCCCGAGGTCCTCCCGGAGAAACCCGAGGTCCTCCCGGAGTCCTCGTGGGGGGTGTCGCGATTAGGCCGACGGCGACGCCGACGCCGACGCCGCTCAGCCGGAAACGGGCGCCTAAGAGCTGCGCTCTATAAAAACTCATTCTAGGACGCATGCGTTTGCCACTCGGATCGTTCTCTCTGAACTTGAAAGACTCTGGCTGGCTTGAACACCGCGCCAGAGATCTCTCCACTTCAACGCGTTCATAAAACTGTTATTGCCGACACGAAGGCAAACAACTAGAGCCACTGACGAACCAGTGTCTAAGCAACACGCGTAGCACAAGTGACAACCTCTGCATGACGTAGTGAGTGACAAGCTCTATGTGACATGACTCAGCAAACGTTCGGTCCATCAATACTAAATATCATTAGGCATTCCAGGTGCGCTTAGCTCAGAGCGCGCTCAGTCAGTACGTGCTGTTCGACATTCTAAAAGTGCTGTGGAGCCATTCATGAATCCGGAAACACGTAAATACTCACCGACGACGAGGCTGAGAGCAAAGCCCACTGGGGCCTGGCACCAAAGGACTCCTCGTACGGCAGTCTCCTCTACGATGCCGCTAAGCAAACCACCGTCCACCCAAGTGGCTGCACAAGAAAAAACAACAACAAAAAGGCAAGTTTTTTAGCGAGATGCCGTCCGTTTCCCATGAGTTATTTTGAAGTCGTTTATTTTGTACCACCGTTGACTGCCTACAAGTTCTTTTGTGCCCTGTAGGCCCTCTGTTTGCTACTATTGGAGCTGGATTCATTCCCCAACTACTGTATCAAGAAACGTATGCGTCGTAACACTACTCTTTAAGATTATTTGCTGAATCGCTGATCCACGCTTTGAGACCCTTGTGCGATTGCGGCCACCGGTTGGCCATCGTACGTCTTCGACATGGAGCGTGGCCAAGCCTGGAAAGCTCCCCCCTGTGGGGCACATTTTGTGGTTAACCACCATCGTTTTTCGAAGTAGTTTCCTGATACTTTATGTAAACTGTCAAACAATTACACGCGCGTTCATTCGACCAATGGCGATAAAATGCGTTTGGTCGGATACAGAAACATTCTTAGTAAAAACAATTCAGAAATTAAATGGTACGGTGATGAAATGGTCATGATTAATAATGCAATTAAGGTCAGAGTTGCAAGCGAGCTGGACAAGAATGACGAAAATAATCCCTGGAGAAAGGGAACAACAGGGACAAAGGACGAACACAAATCTCCAAACACAGCTAGGTGACTGGAGTGCGACCGAAAAAACCCGGAGCAGGCGGAATTCTTCGGTCGCGCACCAGTCACCTAGCTGTGTTTGGAGATTTGTGTCTGTCCTTTGTCCCTCTTGACGAAAACAATCCCTCTTCAGGGATTGTTTTCGTCATGAGATGGTTTAGCATGCCATGCACATATCAAGGACAACGTCAACGACGTCGTCTAGGACGACGTAGATGACGACCTCTGGGACAATCCTCAGTGCAGCCTCAAAGACGCTGGCAAGGACAACGTTAGGACGGTGTTTAAGACGGCGTCTAGTACGACGTCTAGTACGACGTCGAGGATGACGTCTTAGACAACGATGTCAAGAAGGACATCTAGGACGACTTCTAGGACGACCTCAAGGACGACCTTTAGGATGACTTGAAGGCCAACCTTTAGACCGATTTCAAGGACGACGTCGAAAAGTTCTAGGAAGACCTCTCGGATAACCACTAGGACGACGTCGTTGATGACGTCAACAGGTCACGTCAGCTGCAGCTACCAACGCTTACGAGCTTACGCGACCAGCGCTTACGTGAACGGAGCTTACACAACCGACGCTTACTTGACCTTGATCACACAACCTTGCACTTCAGCCACGTGCAATTACGCGACCTTGCTACGTGACCTCGCCCTTCAGCCACTGGTGGTATGTGACCTTCAGGAGATGACCTTGAGCATGGTTGGGTCTATAAAGCTCACTGGCTATACGTGTGGTCGGCGCAATCCAGGTTTTCTCGAGCCTGAGGTGCTGTGGTTTTGTGAAACTTTAATAGGACACCGGAGGGCTACTGTTCGACAGTTTACATGAAGTTTCATGAAACTGGTTCGACCAACATCTGTGATTGAGCACAAAATAGGGTCTACAGATTTTCAGGCTTGAAAACGTTTCATAAAGGTGAGGTAAGGTAGCCGACCGGTGGCCGCGTTTGAGGAAGGGCGATCAGTGATTCAGCAAATCGTTATACAGATCAGTATGTCGTAACAAGCCATCTGCTGGCAGTTACTGTGGTCGACGCGGTCAAGGGAACAATGAAATGGCTGTGACATAAAAAGGTAACACAGCACTAAAATAGGCAAACGACGCAATCAACAGTGTACACAGAAAAGCAACTGATTGTTTCTTTCGTCCTTAGTCTCTTTTAGCGCTGTTATAATTTTTTTAAATAATAGTTTTGCAACCAGGTCAAGTTGATGGCATGCTGATATTGTGCATCCTGCGCTGGGGGGACGATTCGCTACGTTGTAGGTCAGAAAAAGAAGTTTGTGCAAGACAGGAAGGACTAGGCTACATGACTGAAGTAAAATCAGTGAGCCGGTCATGGGTCATTTTTTTCTTTTTTTGAAATTTATATTCTTACCTAGGAATAATTGATAACGAGCGTGTTGATGAATAGATACGAATACTTGAAACGATAAAAATATCGAAGCCGGTCTCGAGACGGAAACCAAACTTCTTTCACTGAACATCAACATAGAAGGGCAGAAACTAAAAAAAAAAAAACGCTCTCCAAAGGTTTTAACTTTCTTAAAGAAGGTGGAGAAAATTATTAAAAAGAAAAGAGAATTTAGTATGAATATAAAAGTTTAAAAAGCGCTGGCGTTACGACGAAGAATCCGTTATCTAGTTACCTCTGGTGCAAAGAATTCGACCTCTGTCATTTTCAGTTATAAAGAAGGAGCAGAAATAATGTTGTTCACAGTCCCAAAAACATTGTACGATAAATTTAAAAGTTTAAAAAGCTCTAGTGTCACGACGAAGTATCAGTAATGCAGTCACCTGCGGTATCAGTAAGGCAGTCAGCGATAATGAAGGTAAAGAAATGCTGATACTGAATACTGGGTTGACACAACAACAGATTTCTGAAATAAGTTACTGAATCATTTGCCATCGGGTCTGTCAACAACATTTGTTTGCCTTTGTTATCACTGCCAAAGACCAAGGTCGAATTCTTAAAACCAGAGATGGCTAGATTACTGATAACACGTCGTGACGCTAGTGCTTTTTATACTTTTACATTCATAGTACCTTTCCCCTTGGGACTGTCACGAACAATATTTCTTTATCTGAATTCTCACTGACAATGACAGAGGTCCAATTTTTTGCTTAACAGATAACTAGATTACTGGTACCTCATCGTGATGTCAGCGCTTTTTTAAACTTTATATTTACAGTAAAATCCTTTTTAATTTTTATAAATTTCTTCTTTCCTTCTTCGAGAGCTTTGAAACCATTGGGGGGCGGTCTCATAGTTTGTGCCATACATATTTGTTGCTCAATGAAAGAAATCCGGTTTCCGTCCCCGTCCCAATGTTTTTTTTTTTTTTTCTTTCAGGTATGCTTGTCTAGGAAGGCGATTATTAGTGAGTGACACTGAGCCCTGAATTTTGTTTGGAGCCCTAAGCTGGTTTCGCGAAGAGTTTTGGGAGGAGTTTCCACAAAAAAACGAGTCACACAACGGAATGAATTGTGGTCCGTTTTAACATAAGCCCACTAAAAGAAATTGCTAAAACGGTGGGCTGAAATAATTGAGGTTTGTTGACATATTCACATATTTTTCAACTAAACAATAAGTTGTAATGCACCATCCAGAATGTCAGGTCAGTAGGCGAAATATTTTTCTTGAGACACATCTATTTCGTCTTCGACAAAAAGCTTTCGTCTCTTAAATAATGGTGCCACCACGCTTAAAAAACAGTAGGGCATATATTTTGGAGGCAAGGGCTCTAGCACGCGCTCGTCGGCCTCCTTCATGCTTTGGTTGCGCGTGCACACCCGAAGTCCGCGAGACTCCGCAATGGTATCAAAGGTGGGGAGATCGCACTCGAGACGGGACAACCGTAAGATATTTCTTTTGTTCTCATTTTGTAATTTATCACAGAGTATTCCAAATATGCACTCAAGCTCGTGCCGTGCAAGCACCTTGTAAAACAACATTACACTCTCGTGGCTACGCCTTCCCCCCAACTAATGCAAACGCAAGCTAGATACTTGGAATCTTTTTTTTTGGAAGGCACTGTTTCTCAAAGTGCGTACTGTCTTCTTTCAAATATTGCTGCATTTGAACTAGGATTTAAAATGCCTATACATGCATCTGTGGAATCTAGCGTTCCTCATTGTGTAATACTCGTAAGAATCTCTGATACCAAAAACTAGATTGTTTGTTATTGCTTTTAAAAAAATGATTTAAACACGTAGTGCTTTCTAATCCCAGAGATGATTTATCTCAGTTAGATGATATTGGCAAGAAGTGTTCCTGAGATAACTCATTATAAATACAGCGCTTATGTACCCAATTTGAAATATTGTTAGAGAGAAGACGATGAAGCCGAAGCTGAAGGGTGAAGCAGAGCCCGCTCTCAGCTGGAGGAATATGTTCGTTCAATTCTTGAACTCCAGGTAAATCAATCATAAACCAACCATCAACTTATCGCCTTCAAACAGCCTCTAATATCTTGAGTTTAAATGTTTCATACGTATATGTCTTTTAAACCTAGAACTGATGTACCCCATTTGGGATCTCTTAAGATCAAATGTTTTATAGGCCATGCCATTGAAACAAAGATATCAGGTGTACCATTTATAATATCTTGAATTAAAAAGCATATTAAGTAATGCCTTCCAAACCCAGAGCAGATGTACTCATCTTTGGATATGTGGTCAAGAATTGTTTCATATGCTGTGCCTTTTAAATTTAGGCTGATGTACCCAATTTAGGATAAATAAATACATTAGTTATGAGAACTTCTTCAACATATCAATGTTTGCATATTCGGGGTTGAGATATAAGGGTAAAGCAAGCAAGCAAGAGGCGAAGTTTCGGGCGAAGAATGTTCTCACAACCTTCTGGAACGTGACGAAAAGTCCTGAAGTCGCAATTTTGCAAACGGACCTTAAAGGCTAAAGGCAGACATGTACACGTTACCCCAAAAAAGTAGCTAAATACCGTTACTCGTTACTTCCTCAAAAAGTAACTAAATACGTTACTTGTTACCGATTCTCCAAAGGAACGAGTTACACTACCTCAAGTGTAACGAGTCACCTTTATCGCTACTTTGACGACCAAATCCACAACTTCTTTTTTGTTTTATGGTATATTGTTCTCTTTTCAGTAGTCGTTGCACTTAAGCAGTAGCTGCCTATCTAAATCTTCATCAGCTATGTTTCCCCGCTTCCTTAAGAATACATCTCCGGCGAGGCTGAAGTGTCGTTCTACTGACATGCTCGAAGGAACGGCAGTGTTGGACTTCAGAAGAGCTGATGAATCTGGGATTCTTCTTTTTGTCCTCTCAACTTCTAATGTTCCAGGTTAAAAATGGATTCTGCGCCGACTTGGAAAGTAATCCGTTACAAGTAACGGATTACTTGCAATTTGTTACTTGTAACGGATTACAAGTAACACATTACAACGCGCAATGAGATGTTCAAATTTCAGGGTATTAAGGAGAAATGAAACCTAGTGTTTCAGTGCATACTTTGCTTGCCAAAAAACACACATTGCCATCAGTAAGAACAACTGAATATAATTTAAGGAAACACATCAAGGTAAGCTGGGACACCTGCCTTCTGCATTGGCTATACATTGTAATATTAGAACCAAGTTCTTTCTTTTCTTGTGAATAGCAGGCGAAACACCCGAGTCAGAAGGAAACTTTCGTAGATTCGCTCATCAGCGCCGAATCTCGCAGCGGAGGTAGACACTGCTACTGAGCATGCACACCGCTAGCGTTGTCTGTACAATTCCAGGGATCATTTCCGGAGGCCGTAAGCTAGCGGGATGGCGGGTGTGGTTGCAGCTTTCGGTGCCTTGTCATCTTAGAGGTGAACGGAGTGCACCTGCACACTTTGTCTTAAATACAATAATTTATTTTTAGAATGACCACGATAATACGGGCGTACGAGAAATAAAAAGTAGTTTCGCAAAAAATTTTTTTTAATATCAAAATTGTTTTTATTGTTTTCTGGATAAGTGCACAAAAAAAGTAACGAGAAAATAATTTGTAACGTAACGAGTAAAGTTATCCCTTACTCTTCAGCGAAAGTATTTGTGAAAGTAATCCAATACACCAGAGGCTCGGCAATTGGTAATTGTAATCCATTACGTTTTTCAAGTAACGAACACAAGACTGGTTCTGTGCCTCTTTTGTTTTCAACCTCTATGTTTATATTCGGTCGGTACATGATTCTAGAGTGTTAAACCAACCATCATCTGGGACCCACCACAAAGTTACCTTGAACAAAAGTTGGAACGGGTTCGAAACCAGGCATTACGGTTCGTTACAGGTGATTACAGCCCTTATAGAAGTTGTGCAAAAATAAAAAACAGTTTAGGTTGGGATTCACTCAAAGAGCGAAGAAAGTGCTTGAGATTGAAATTCTTTCACAGCATAAATTACGGACGAACTGGTATTGAAAGAAGCCTTTACATTTTTGAACCACACTATGCGTCTGCAAGACGGGGTCATTCTAAAAATGCCGAGGAATTTTGTTACAATACTGACTGTTTTTCATTTTCATTTTTTGTTCAAACCATTCGAGAGTGGAATACACTTAGGGAAGAAATTGTGTCTATTACTGATAATGATCTATTTTATGATAAACTGCAATCTATATCCACGATTAATAATGTATGTTTTATTGTTGTTCCGTTTATCTATTGTATGAAGATCTATTGTTATTGCATAATGTTTCCTGTACCCCCCTGCATGATGCCTAACGGCGCTGCAGGTATCCATGTAAAAAATAAATAAATAAACATGATTGTGTTCACAGGGGGAAAAAAACATTCACAGCTGTAGAGTTCGACTGACGTGTTGAGGGATAAACGCTTCTATATTGTCATACTATTTACTTGTTTTTTTTTCGTATGCCCATCTGCTTTCGTCGCAATAGTCACGTACTAAAGTTCGGATTAAAACGAAGCTGCTTAAACGTTGTTGTACACGTTACTCCTCAAAAGTAACGAAACACCGTTACTCGTTACTTTAACTTAATACGTTACTCCTTGCTTTTCTAAACAAGTAACTCTATAACCTATTTGTTACCGAAAGAAGTAACCAGGTAGAAGTAGCTCGTTACTGGCAACGCGTTACGCACATGTCTGGCTAAAGGCTGTTTTCCTGTTGAACAGCTCGTCTTATCGAACGTAAAAAGAAAGAAAAAATTAAGGACGCTTACAATTTTCAGTAGCACCGAGTTAGAGCGAAGCTCTTGAGGAGGAGGAGGTAAGGGTACGGAGGGAAGGGTAGGCCGCTCTTTCTTCCCCGCTATATGTAGCGGGGATATTTAACCCCTAAATGTAGCGGGAATATTGGCAATATTAAATGCGTTTGACGCGACACGTGTCGTCATACGCCACGCGTTTTCTATAATGACATGACACGTGACGTCTCATGTGACGTCACGAGGGTAACCCTTGTGGCCCTCGTGAGAGTAACTCTGGTGACATCCGTGAGGGCAAACCTTTTGACCCTTGTAAGGGTAACGCTCTTGACCTTCGTGATTGTAACCCTTGTGAGGGTAGCCCTCGTTATCCTCGTAAGGGTAACCCTCGTCACGCTTGTGAGGGTAACACTCCAACCCTCGTGAGGGTAACCCCCTTGACACTCGTGAGGGTAACCCCCATGACCCTCGTAAGGATAGCCCTCGTAACCTTCTTGAGGGTAACCCTTTTGACCCTTGATAGGGTAACTGTCGTGACCCTTGTGAGGGTAACCCTCGTAACCTTTATGAGGGTAACCCTTTGTGAAATCACACGTGACGTCACGTGTGACGCCATTATTGGAAACGTCCCATTATGCAACATGCTGTTACGCGGACGGCGACCGCGTCGCCGCTGAAGCCGGAACCGGGCGCCTAAGAGCTGCGCTCTAAAACATTCCGAGGACACCTAAGCACTTCTTATGACTTGTGAATGCGAAAGCATGAATATCGCTCTTTCGCTCCCTTACTTCGTCTGCGACGTACTGGCGTGCACGGCCCCGCTTCAATACTGCCGAGGTAGCGGCCGACGGCCGAGCGCGCGCTCCCGTGAAGTGGCGCGCCACGCTGAACTCGCGCTGAACTCGGCCGCGCAGCCTCCCCGGAGTTTGCCCGTGAAAGCTCTGCGGCCACGATGTGTGGCCGCAGAGCGTTTACGTGCTTTCACGGCCGCCGGTAAGAGGGAGCCTCTTACAGGCGGCCGGGCCGCTGGGTGCGCTGCGCTGCAATGGAGAGGGCTTCTCTGGTGGCGTTCCTTGGAACTAGGCCGCGCGAAAGACAATGGAAGCGAGAGTTCCTTGAAACTATGATGTACGACAGCCAATGGGATCCTATCCATCAGGTTTCTGCCACAGACGACAGGCTTCGTTCCATTTGGACAGGGGAAGGTGCCCTTCGGCTTGGCTTCAAAAGCTGTTAACGTCGGTTCGCTCCATAAGAAAGTTAATGCTTTCGCATTAAAAAATGTGCGCAACTTTGCGAAAGAAATTATGTGCAGAACTGCGCGGATCACCTTATTTTTATTAATCTCAGTTTTTTTTTTCGTCTATTGAACTGCAACCATTCTGTAGGCGAGTAAAATTAAAGTTGCCGAAAACCTTTTAATTATTTCCAGACTTTTATTCCCTGTCGAAAGCACATTTCCCCGCACATCTTTCTCCCTTGACTCTCATGAATATTTTTTTCTTCTGCTAAACTCGCTGTGTAACCGATATGTTGAAATATGCTGACTTCCCCGCAGTGCTTCCTTCGCACATTTAAAATTTAAAACCCTTTATCAGACTGTGATGGGCCAAAAGCCAGGTAGGTAATATTTTCAATTAAGATATCACTGCCATGTCGGGCTAGGATGCAAGTATTCTCGGCGCTATGGACGACTCTACTGAGCTAGAAGGTTTATTGACAGACAATGTGGAAACATTGCCTTGAAAAGACTCCTCAACAAAGGTGAACTAAGAGGCAAATTCAACTGTGTAAATGGCCGACCTAAGGTCGCTGCCATTTTCTGAACGTTTATTATTATTAATATTTTTTGACGGCCGATTGTTGAGGCGACTACATTAGAAAAGTCGTTTTGTGTTTTAAAACGTTCAATACGAGACAGTCTCCTGGCGGTATACCGATGACGGTGAACACTCCGACGACGAGGCTCACGCTGCGGCCTCCAAGCATCAGGTCCTCACTAGGGTTGGCACTGGGCCCTCCTCCGTGCCTCCGCCGGGCGCCCCAGAAGCCCACGGCCACGATGAGTGCGTAGAAGAGCACGCTGGCCACCAGGCCTGGAACGCTGAGGCCCATCGTCCTGCGGAGACCTGAACAGAAATGGTCGGATTGAAGAGGGAACATCTCGGTCATGAGGTCATCTCGCAAAAGAGCTTACATTGCTGCTTACAAAAGAGAGAAAAAAAAAAAAAAAAGACTGTTATCACACGTAATAAAACTTTCTAAGCTCAGAGAAAAAGAAGAAACGAATGACGTATTTTCTTGGTGGACATCCAGATATTATTGAACGGACACTGGACATCCAAAATAACTTTTAACGTAAACATTGCGACACTGTTAGCGCGAACACGACTTCGGCACACTTTAGCATCCTACTTCTAAATAGCATTAGCGAGCACGAAAATTTATCGCTTACATTCGAGAATTAAATGAGTTCTTTCCGTAGCAATAATAACTTGGATGGGATCCTTTGGTTTCAAAAAGAAAAACTGGAAAAACCGGTGATCGCTTGTTCGCGCTAACAGTGTCGCGCTCTCCACCTAGATAGGACAAACAAAAATAACAAAATAAACGCTCCTAAAAAAGTGGTGCAATATTTAAGCTGAGAGACTGCTTTTTGACTTTGGAAAGGTTCCGAGACATTCTTGTTTTTTCTAGACGTAGACCCCCAACTAAAATAATGTTTAGATAATGCCTAAAAGGCCCCTGAAAAGGAAAAACAAAATTTTTTTAAACAGTCTGGTTGGGACACGACCGTCAAAAAATAAATTTTACGCGAAAAAAAAATTAGTGCAATGTTGACGGCGCGAGACGCGATTTAGTCGGCGGTCACTTTTTTTCCCACTCGTTTTCTCTCAGCATTTCGGGCGCTTGGAGGACAGGTGGATCGGCTTCGCCTTCACGGCCGAAATGGTCATTTTGGAATGACCCGTGACGTTATAGAGTCCGCGCGCAGAATTTCAAATAAATCTCTCGCTGTTAATATTGCTCTCAAACATTTTTCTTTTTTTGCGGATTTTTTTTTTTTTTTTTTTGATACGCGTGTTTTAATTAGGCTGTTTAAAAAAAACATTCGTTTTTCTTTTCAGTGGCCCTTTAAAAATCTGTAGAAGTAAACTTTGTTCTAAACTTGTTTATTCGGAAAAAGGTCCATGACAGGCGTGTCAATAGTCATTCAATAAAAACCTCTTTTTAGTTCAACAATGTAGCGTGTTGGGCTAGTTGGCTTAAGATGAACATCTTGGAAATAAACAGCGGCAAAGAAACTTGGACAAGAGTAAAGGAACAAGGTGCAGCGCCGTCCTGTCGTGTTTGTTCCTTTACTCTTGTCCAAGTTTCTTTGCCGCTGTTTATTCCCAAGATGTTCACCTTTTTTAGTTCAGTGATTCTTTAAGTGGGGATTGGAAAATGAATATGAAGCGCCTTAGGATATGAGTTAGAATTGTGTTAAAGCTGAGACAAATAAAACAGAATTTTGTGTTTTTATGAAACGAAATGTCCACTGAAATTTAATTTTTAGTTCGTATAATATACTTCAAAATTTGCATAGTTGGGCTCTGCTCTCAATTTAATCTTAATGTACTTCATATTTTAGCGCGTGGTGCAGACTTTGACCAGTCTGGCTACTGAGTGTAAACACTGAAACTGTATAGGGAGTGCCGATAGCGCATTACGCTGTAAAACGAGCCGAAAAAATCGGCGCCTGCATACAGAAGGCTGTAACTTCCACCAAATGTGCACTGTGGAGGTGCCAGTTGCCTTGTAAAATTTCAAGCCGTCTTTTTCTTCCTGCAAAACATTAGACCAAGACACTTCCTAAAGTTAACGGCGAGCGTGTTTGCAGACGATCGAGTTAGAGATAACTGTAACATAAAGCGCTATCTACAAGAGACGCAACTAGCAGACAACAGGGAGCGTCGTCTGCTCTTTATGGCCGGAGCCGCGTATAGACCTTTGTCCGGAAGTGCTCTTTTTAGCCTCGACCGCAAGGAGCAAAAGCGAACAATAATCTCGAACCCAGACGCTCACGGGGAGGGGGGGCTGCGTCGGCCTGCGCCGCCGCTTCCCGTTGAGGGCTTCTCCGCTGGTGTGCCGACTGCCGTTTCGCCGGCATCGGTCCTGTTTACCGCGGTATGTGAGTATAGTGCCCGTAATGTGAGAGCCGTGTGTCCATACGTCACTTTGCCGCTGTTGGTTTCCATCTAGCCGAGCCAGAAAACATCTCGCGACGAGTTGACCGCGCCGCGAGTGACGAAGAAGAAGCAAACATGGCGATGGTTTGTGCGACTGCTTTGGTGGCTCCGGTTGTGAGTGTCTTCAACGTCCTCGTGAGAAGGTTCCCCTGCCCTTCGAAGTTATTGCAAGCACCACGAAAGATGTGGAATCATCGTCGTCTCAACTACAAATAAGCAGGCCTTCACGAGCAACAACAGTGCCGAGCAGGCGCTCGGCACAGTTGTGTCAGGCTCACGCAGCCAGCGGCACAGTTGTGTTGGTTGTGTCGTCAGATGTTCAACAACGCCGAGGTATTTTCATTTATCATTTGGAATGGCTTCAAGAGTGGTAAATTAATCTATTTCGCGGATTGTTAACGCCGAGGCGAGTGCCCTCCGTTGCAGTGCCGTCGTCGCACAAAGTGCAGAGAAAACCGGGTGGCGATGGCGGCGGTGCTCTTTGATCTTGCGCCGTCGGGTTCATGAAGTCCGGAGTAAACGTACGTACGTGCGTCTGCTGGATCGGTGTTTTGGACTGCCACAAAACTCTTTCTCGCGGGCATTTACCTTGTGAAGCTTAGTAGCTCATTACACCTCGTCGTCGACTGCGCTCATTTGACTACGACGGACGAGCCTGCGTGATGTGAATTTCACTGCCTAAGATCCTTGGTGTGCTGTAACGAGGGCTAATAAATATCACCGCGAACTTCTGAACAAACGAGTCGAAGTTTCGTCTGCTATCATAACTGACCGCCTGTCACAATATTAATCAGTAGCGTTCCTAGACTCCGCCCCCACAGGCACCGTGCTTCGTTGCCCGATAGTAAGTGTCTCCTGGTACCTCGTAGAATTCCAGCTCCCACTTCAAGTAAGTACCATCCTTTAGAACTGGCAATTAATAGTTTCGAACCCAGACGCTCGCAGTGTGTGTTTGTGTGTGTGTGTGTGTGGGGGGGGGGGGGGGGGGGGGACGGGGGACGGGACGCGTGCTAGCATACTCGGAGCCCTCGTTTACGCCGCTTCGCAGCGGCAGACAAGGCGCCACATTACAAAAGAAAGCTAATCCGAGCTGTCTATGTAACTAGACCCATTCGCTAGTTATTCGATGAAACGTCGTGGTCTCGTTTTCATTCGCTAAAACGGCGTTCGAAGAAGTGAACGCCTCCCACTTATTTCGGCTCGGCAGAGCCGCGCTGCCGCAGAAAGGCAAGCAGATCGCGAAAATCGGTCTCGAACGTGCCACGAATGTAATGTCGTATACAAGAAGCCAACAATCAAGCATTTGAAAGCTACAAGAAAGCGGTAGCAAAATATTTACTACGCAATGAACCCGGACTGAAACGCGGATGTCAAGGGTCAGCAGACACCGAGAACATTTAAGACAAGAAAGGTTTTCTCTTGTTTTCTTGATCGGGATGGGTTCTCGAATGTTCATGACATCTTATCTGTTGAAGAACGGGTCCCGGAGGCTGCTGGTGAAGACATCGTTCACGATGTGCCGGTGCATTTGGACAGCCTGCCGCATCCAACTCCCCAAAGCAACGCCGCCAACGCAACCCCCCCCTCCTGCCTGCCAGTTCTCTCCGCGTGGTGGCGCGAGCGTAGATAAAAATGGCGGCGCCCTGGAATTGGCGCGAACACTGGTCTATACAGAGAGTTTGGTCAATGGGAGGCGCAGGCAGAGCTAGGGCGTGCACCAGACGCAGAAAGTGGGCTTGGCATGCTCTTTTGGCAAACTAACTATAAGCCGAAAAGTATCCCCTAGCGGTGGTTGCGAGAAACAGATTTGGTCTTCTTAATAAGCGCGTAAGAGTTAAATGTAGTAACCCTTTATGGTAGGAAATAGGGTGCACGTGATGTTTTGATCATGATCATGCAGAAAGATGTAAAAAACAAATGCGGCCGCTCAACTCTGTTTTGCTCGCACAGAGTTTGACCGCTCGGAAGGCAGATTCCCGGCCCTCGGCGCTTGGCGTACGGATCATATCGATCGTCCCGCTAGTCGCACTCTTCTACCATGATTTTGGATGACCGTGATTGAAGCATCACGTGCACCATATTTTCAGTCACCGAGAATTACTCCGATGCACTTATCAGGTTTGCTTCTCGTGACCACCGCCAGGGTATTATTTCCGTCTTCTGGTTGGCCATATTCGAATTTCTGAAGACGGCCTGGAACACGCCCAGCCCGCTTTTAGCCAATGGTACTAACTCATTTGTCTCCTATACTTCCCAACGAAAGGCGAAACTCTTACATATACGGCTCTGTTTACGCCTATAGGGTGATTGCGCCGAATGTTACATTCATCGCTAACTCGGTCATCTGCAAACACGCCCATCGTTGCCTTTAGAACGTTTGCTTGTCTATTTTTTTTATTTTTTTTTTTGCATGTGAAAAAGTAGGCCTTGAAGTTTCACGAGGTGAAATGCACCATCTCAATGCACATTTGGTGAAAGTTTGATCGTTCTATATGCAGGTGTTATAGATTCATCCGGCTTGTTTTAAGACGTGAGATCCACTGGACGCACACTTTATTTTTTATACACTAGTATTTGTATCGTACTCTACAACTTTCTATTTAGTTCTTAACTTATTTTAACTATAATATTCAGCACAGGACAAGGTGGGGAATCAAAATGAAAATGATTTAAATAATCTTGATCACCATTTAAAGTGATTTAAATCACGATGGAATTGGTGATTTGGATCAGATTAGCTTTAATACGGTGATTTAAATTAGACATTTCCCTCAAAAAAAGACCCGAATCTGAACACAGGTAAAAGCAGTTGATTTTCTGAACAAATCGGAGCGTTGAGCCTTCTTTGTACCTTAACATGCATTCGTTACCTGCGAACATCAT